AGGGAAACATTTATTTATTTATTTTTATTTACCTTTGGCTGCATTGGGTCTTTGTTGCTGCACGCAGGCTTTCTCTAGTTGTGGCGGGCGGGGGCTACTCTTCATTGCAGTGCACGGGCTTCTCACTGTGGTGGCTTCTCTTGTTGCGGAGCTTGGGCTCTAGGCGCGTGGGCTTCAGTAGTTGTGGCTCATGGGCTCTAGAACGCAGGCTCAGTAGTTGTGGCACACGGGCTTGGTTGTTCCACAGCATGTGGGATCTTCCGGGACCAAGGCTCAAACCTGTGTCCCCTGCATTGGCAGGCGGATTCTTAACCACTGCGCCACCAGGGAAGCCTGGGAAACAATTTTATTGGTAATAGAACTGGGCTACTTCATCAGAGCCCTTCTATTTCCTCACATATGTTCCCGCTGTTCCCCTTTCCTGGGACCCCTCCCAACCACTCCCTTGGATTTTGTCTTCCTTCTAGAAGAAAGGCTCACCTGTAGCACTAATAGTTCAGGATTTGCTAGGACTTGCCCCGAGACACCTGTCTACTGCTCCCAGGCACCTGGCCAGGAGGATCTCCTTGTAGCCAAAAAGTTAATAACTGGTCCAGAAAATACACAATGCCATGGCCTACAAATTTCTAAAATGAACTTTGTGACATCATGCAGAGGCAAAGGGGTGAGGAGGAAAGTCAGGCAGACCCAGGCCCAGATCTCAGTTCTCCCCTTCTTCCCCACGTGTGTAACCTCAGGCAGAGGACTGGATGTCCCTGGGCCTCGGCTTCCTCATCTGTGACATGAGAATAACACAACTGCAGTGAGGATACATGTATTCAGCCACCTGTAGGTGCTCAATGATGCAGCTTCCTCTCCCACCACCCACTTTGTCCTTTCAGAGCTCAAAGATCCATAACTTAGGGAATCACAGGGAAGCTGAACACTGGCTAAAGGTTTAGAAAATACTATCTAAGGAGAATGGGTGAAGGAGTGGTAAATGTGTTGTGTGAGCGTTTAGTCTGGACACAGCGGGTGCTAAGGAGTTGTGGCTGCCATTTGTAAGCACCCACTAGCTTGCCTGGCATTTAACACAGTTGAATCCTTGGAACAGCCCTGTAAAAAATGTCTGATTATGAAGCTCCATATTATAAGTGAGGAAACTGAGGTTTTATAACTTTCCCAAGATCATCCAGCTAAATGGGGAAATGGAGAGTCCAATTCAGGTCTGACGCTTTGCACGAGCTTAAGATTCTCCTGCCTCGTGACTGGAGGCAGCGTGGGGGAGGTGGCCCCAAAGAAGAGCAGGAGGGGACAAGGAAGATGGCTGTCAGCCACTGGTATCAGGGACAGGCAGGGGCCAGAGAGGACGAATGCTAAATCTTTCTTTTGGACTCATCAGAAAGGGACTCTCCAGGCCTCAGCTGCCTTAGGTATGGACCTGCCTGATGGCAGGAGTGACTGTTTCCTGGAGGAAAGCAGGCTTGTGAGCACCAGGCTGAGGACTGAGCTCCTGGGGGCCACACAGACAGAGCCGAGCATCCTGCCCCTCCTCACCGAGGGGGGCTCAGTGGCTGACACAGTGGAATCCATCTTTCTGCTTTTTTCTATATGTTCCATCGTTGTTGCAGAGATTCCCTTTGCCTTATTCTGGCCATTCCCCAGAAAGAGTTATATAAAACTAAGTAAAAATGTTAAAATATACAAATGCAATTTTTTTAGGCTTCATCTCTCCGTTTTCTTATCCACGGAATGGGTTTGATAACTCGTCTAACTGTGGGCGAGGTGCTGCGGTGGCCGGCCTCTTCACGCCAGCGCAGGTCTCGTGTTTGTGCAGCCCTAGCACCGGTCTAGGGATTTGCCACCTCCCCTCTGCGACTATGCCGTGTAGAAGCCAAGGCTTTTGCTTTCTTGCCCTAACTTTGATTCCTCACATTGCTGAGGGGCTGTGATTAGAGCTTAATCTCATGTCTACAATCCATTTCCTCCATGGAGCTGCACTATTCTTTCCCATCTAGATAATTGCAAGGCAACCAAAACAGAGTTTCTCTCTCCGCTGCATTTTCTTCTTTTGTGGAGACATGGAAAAGGTCAGTTCAATAGACTCAGACCTGTGTTCTGACTCTCACAGACAGAGGCCTATCACTCTTATACCTATAGGTCATCATTCCAAGACATAAACTTTTTCTTAGAGAGAGATACACATTCCATAGAGAGAATGCGGTCTGTCTCAAAAGGCGAGACAGCCTTGGGAGAAACACACTCCACAGACAAGAGTGTGGGCCATCTCAGAAAGCAAGAGGCCCATTAACTTTTTTTTGAAGAGCAGTCCCCAAAGCTCACTAAAAATTGCATCTGGATTTAACTTAGTTTGAGAACCTTATGGTTGAGTCCATATTTCTAATCTCTGCACCTGATTTTGAACCACTAGACTTAAATTGACTGCTAACACTGATATACCTTCCAAGGGAGCCTAAGCAAAGAACACCAGTTCCACATGGCCCTCCCCACAAGAGAACATGGAAAAACACAAAGTCACACTGAGTAAGGAGGGGCCACAGTTTGCTATTGTCCAGTGAAGGTGTCTTGGCCTCAGAATCCTGCCACTTCCTGCAGTTCCAGCCCTCGGCTATGGTCCACCCTGAGTAAGCGAATTCCTCTGCTGAAACTTGCACACAATAAGGAGACGGTGTCAGCCACAGCCAGGGAAGTCAAAGGTCCTGATCCATCCAGAGACAAGGTGAAAAGGCAGGCTGGGAAGGAAGGGGGAACCAGCACGTTAGGCTAAGAGTGCACCTGTCATGAAAGGCAGTGTCTTTGTAAGAAACCCCCAGAAATAAAGCACGTGCTATGTGCATCTAACCCAGATGAGAGAGGCACTGTGTGCCTCAGAGGAACGTGCACCAGCGGGGAAGTCAACCCCAAGACGTCAAGTCTAGAGAATGGCACGTGGACCCAACAGGACGTACACCACCTGGAAGTACGTTGGACAACTGGGGCCTCACTGCAAGGCCATGTTAAAATGCTACCCTCAGACACCTGCCCAGAGAACAAAGCATGGGTCAGCGCAGAGAAAACAGATAAGAATACTGATCTTCAGCTGCTGGCTTCCTGGGGTCTAGCTCCCTTCAGGACAAAGGATGATGGGGGAGCTGAAGGGCAGTCTGAGGCTGCCAGCTGACCCAGCCTCCTCCATTTGCATCTTGCAGGCTGCTCTTCTAAGAGCTACACTTGCATGCCTGGCAGGCAGGGCAGCGCTTTCACACCTGGTTCTCCCTGGCTCAGGCTTTTGATTCCTGCATCTAGAACAGCTGCTCTCCCCCTCCTCCCACAACTCCACGGGAGGGTGCAGCCAGGCTGCGCTCACTGTGAGCCACTAGACGTGATCCCATATCTTTTCTCTGAGGGAGCGACCCTATCCTCCCCTGCTGGGAGCTGAGTTTCTGGGAGATGACTGTCAAAGGGATTTGGCTTGAGGTTCTCTAAATTAATGTTATTCCTGTGTTTGGCAGAAGCCAGTGTCCAGGACAGAATAGTACTGAGGCAGTGGGGTGCTGGTAAACTGGCTTTTTGGAAGGAAAAAAAAAACTACCTTCATTCATAGCATTTGCCAGTTTTCATGGTATAAATACTCCCACCACGACCGTATTAAATATTCCTGAATATTTAACAATCAGCCAGTAGGAGCTGGTTCTGGCACACCACTGCATGGAGGACTCTGGGCAGCTTGTTCCCTAAACATCTTTTTCTCTGGTGCTTTGAAGTGTCACTACCTTACTGCGATCCCAAACCTTAGCTGGAGAGTCAGGAGAGGGCAGAGTCTTCATGAGACTCTCCTTACCCCACTTCATGCCCTCTGAGCTAAAGGTCTCATTTTAGTCCTTGAGAATGAATTTTAAAATGGCAATTCTTGTTCTCTTTTCCAGACATTTTGAGCATCACAAGTTAAAACCAGATGAGGAACTTCAGGTAGCAAGAATAAAAGAATCAAAATACATTTGAGCTCTCAGGAATGAATCTGTACAACGTGATACCAGGGGTTACATGGTGACAGCTCCTAGCAGAGATTGGACAGAGATTCTGGCCTCTTGGTGTCATCTCTTAACCACTATGGGACTGGACAGTGGCAGGACATGGGTGGCTTTGTATATGCTGAGCTCTGGAAGAAAGAGTTTTAAGGAAGCCTGTAGGACCTCATGTATCTTTGAGAAGCATTAACAGCAGGCTCCTTACCTCCACTGTCTTGGTTCCAGATCTTCACCTTGCAGTCATGCGATGAGGTAGCAATCATAGGCATCAAGGCTAATGCTCTTGGTAGAAAGACACAGGATGCTACAGTCTGGAAGTGCCCCTTGTACTCACAGATTCTGTTCCGCGTCTGCCTTAGGTCCCACAACTGCAAAGTAATGACAGAGGCTGGCTCACACGTACATATTTCCCCAGCTTTAGACATGCTTCATTCACTGAAATCCTCTCCCCGGCGTCTCATGATGCACATATTCCCTCCACTTACCTCCTCACAGACACCCTTATCTTCATCCATCCCATCCACACACCCAAGCATCCAGCCATGCGGTGACTATTTCAGCAACAACTATGCCTCAAACAACCCAGGTTAAGGATGTGCCAGAGGGTTGTTGCCTTCATTATTATCATCATGGTTAGTGAAAGCTCCAAGTCCTGTAGCACAATGGGACAGAATGGGGTTCTTCTATGACAGCTCAAGAGCTGCCTTATAACATAACAGCCTCTTGGCATCTGTGGTTCCTGTGGGGCCCCATAGTTAGGAGCACCTTCTCATAAGTAAATACAGGTGCAGACCTTCTGAGTTAATGCCTAGACACTGAATCTTGGTATAAGAAGACTAGATTCTATAACAAGGGAGACGATAGTCCTGCCAGCCCACTCTTGTTGATACAAATCAGACTACACCTGGAGAATAATGCTCACAGACAAGAGCAGATGGAATTGTGCCCCCAAAATAATAAAATCACTGGACACCATGTCATCCAAGGAACAGTTATAACAGCTGGAAATGCTTAGCTTGGAGAAGAGATGCTACATCAATAGCCTGGGATTCAACACCTCAACCTACCATTTACTAGTGTGGTCTTGTACAAGAGATTTCAACTTGTCATGCCTCTATTTCCTCATCTGTAAAATGGGAACTATAATAATACCTAACTCACAAGGTTGTTTTAAGGATTAAATGAGATAATGCACTATAATGTGCTCAGCCCAGTGCCTTGCACATAGTAAGTGTCCAATAAAATGGGAACTGTAATTGTCCTATTTGGATTATAGATAAGCCTTTTAACTGATATTTTACAATTAGAAATACAAGGTACTGGAAATTCCCTGGTGGTCTAGTGGTTAGGACTCTGTGCTTTCACTGCTGAGGGCACGGATTTGATCCCCGGTCGGGGAACTAAGATCCTGCAAGCTGTGTGGTGCAACCAAAAAAAAAAAAAAGAAAGAAAAGAAAGAAAGAAAGAAAGAAAGAAATCCTAGGTACTTTGGAGGAGCCTAGGCAATCTATCCCGAAATTAACTGCAAGGAAATGTATATGGGTTAGGGATGGGATGGGCCCTCAACCAACACTAGAACTCCAAACTTCCCGAAGAGCTTGAACTCCTTTACTGTGACCACACGTACAGTGGGAACACACTTGGTTCTTCAACAGTCCCTCCCCTTTCTAAGCTCTGTTGGGAGTAGGGACATTAATAGGCTGGTTCTGTATTTAATGCCTTTCTATCTTGACTTTCATCACATTCCTCTTTTCTGCGACCAATGCAGAGAGCTTAGGCAATGGTGGTTTCTTGAAAGAAGTGTCTGGAATGCAAAGGATCACTGACAGCATGCACTTGGAATAGGCCTGAGACATTAGTAGAGCCTGCCTGTGTAGCCCAGTACAGGCAGGAAGCCAGAGGAACTCATTTCTCATCAGCAACCAAACACCTGGACCTTGCAGTCTCTCACCGTGGCTTCACAGCCTTCGCCTCCAAAGCCGCTGCTGCAGGAGATACACTTGTGTCCATCCTCACTGACCTCGCAGTAGGTCTGGATGTGCTGCTTTGTGGGAAATACATGAGCTACCTGCAGCCCCCGACTGTCCCATAATCTGAAAGAAATTACAGTAGGGAATGGGTTTATAGTAAATGTGCTGAAAGGCACCTGCAATAGCCCATTAACGGCAAAGTCTTGACTCTGTCGCTTTGGCCAGTCAGAATGGAACGCCGTGATTTACCTAAAAACAGCAACGTGAACCAGATCAATCTCAGAGACTCCAAAGCTGGCAGGAAATAACCAAACTGAATGACATCTGAGTTCTTTCTATTTTGAGATCTAATTAACAGGAATTTAGACCAAGTATCTTAATTGTACAGGTTAATTTGTTAATTTGGTCCTTTGGGATACTACTTTCAACAGACAAGAGAATATTTCTGTGTCTGCGATTTAAAAAAAATTTTTAAAGATACTTATCATGATGGAGAGGAGCAGTCATCATTCGAGAATCAGATACAGAAGATTTATAGGTCTTGGCCAACCTGAGCCATGGGGTCTACTGGGACTGTTTTGTTTTGCCTCTTGTCTCATTTTTACCTCTTTATCTCCCTCCTACCATTTTCTAAGTAGAATCTCTTCTGAGATCCCAAGTTTCTGGTCGTGCTTTCTAGTCTAAGAAGGGTTTACTTCACCTGACTTACCTGATGGCGATTCTGACCCTACTTGCACAGGGAGGGCTTCACCGGAAGGCTGAGTGATTGAGAACATACGGAGCCAAGCAAGGGCCGCTTGAGGGGCGGGACGAGTGAGTGACTGACTCTGAGGTTACTCTGAACACGTTTCCACAGTGGGGGCTGGCAGAATCAGCTGCTTGGAAACCGGCCAGAACAAGCTGACCTCTTGCCACTCAACCTCCAACCACATGATCCGTGGGGCCAATCAGGGAGACGCCAGCACTGGCGAGGGGCAGGGGGTGGAAGGAGAAGCAATGTGGAGAAGCAGAGTAGGAACAGAGTTATGTAAGCATGGGAGCCACAAACCTTCACCAGAAACACTTTCTTGCTGCTTAGTAAGCCCACCTGATGGTTTTATCTTCAGAGGTCTGGAGTATATAAGGTTCTCTGGGAACCCAGCACAGGTGAGTGACCTGGAAGAGGCAAAATTTTCAAAACTTCTCCATACCATGTCATTCCTCTGCTGTAATTCCTGTAAATTTCGCTAAATAGCATCTCTGCCATCACTTCTCAAAGATGCCGAACCTAGCACATCTGACTTAGAGGGATTTTATGTTGTGCAGATTCCCACCAGTCATGCTCGACCTGCAGTTCCTAGGTTATCAGCAGCAATGGAAGCAGCTGGGCCAGTTGTGAGCCCCAGAATGCATGCAGGCACTCTTAGAGTGCCTGAAACCCAAACACTGCTGGCTGGGTGGCACCTAAGGAGAGCAGCCCCTGCTCTAAAGTGAGACCAATGAAACCCTAGCTTGAGGCCTCATAGGGTTCAGGAAGAGTGTTCTTGTTTTGCTTTATCCCTGCAGCCCCTGCTGGACAGACATGAAACAGTTTTCCGAACAACCCAGGGTAACACGATTTTCTTTTCTTCCAGAAACCTGCCCAAATATGGAGGGGCACAGGGCAAGCACACGTTTCCATGGGCAGTTGTCTTCAAAACTGGAAAAGATGACTATGATTGACATTTGACAACCACTAAAGGACATTACCACGTCAGGTGATATAATTCTCCCATTGTATAAATGAAGACACTGAGACTCTAAGTAAGTTTCTTGGGGTAGCACACCTAAAAAGTAAGGAATCCATGATTTGAATCCAGGTATGACTGACCCCAAAGGCTGTGGAGTTGATATACCAGTTTGCTACAGAAAACACTGGTCTTCATAAGCAGAGCAAATTACACATACGGCAAAAGGTCATGCTTCTTTCTCTGCATAATGTTACATATACAGAACACACAATAAGCATAAACTGTGAGCTCCTACAGCCAAGGGACTGTGCTCTGGGTCACTAACCCTGCTTCTGGCACAGTATCTGGCCCACAGAAGATATGGAATAACTATGTTTTGAAGGAATAAGTGAGGACACCATTTAAAACTCCAATATAAACTAGTGGAGTTGTTCTCTGGGGTGGAAGAACTTAAGAGATCATATAATCCGATAACCCTGAGAGGCCGGGGTCTGACAGAGAGTTGGGGGGTGAGAAGTAATTAGGACCCAGTCCTCTAGTACCTGGTCATGCATCTCCTGATCTCTTTCCCAGGCCCTTCCTCACCCCATGCTCCCTCCTGCTGTCCTGCTCTGTACCAAGTTTGAGTTCATACCAGGTTCCTGGAGACTGATGCTCTCTCCGCACACTCTCCGGTCCCTATGTCCCACAGAAGGAGGGTGTTGTCACGAGAGCCAGTGCATAGCTGTGATGTGTCTTTGGAAACAGTGGCAAGAAGATGGTCCATGAGATAGGCCTGGAACAGGGCTTTTCAGAAAGTACAACGGTGTTGGGAAGAGATCAGCTAGCTTTACCTTACCTGGACTCACAGCCAATCCAGTGACCACCATGGTGTGACCGGAGAACTGCTGCCTTGGTTGTGAGGAGCCTTGCAAGTCCCACATCATGACCATCTTGTCGCGAGAGGCACTGAAGAACTGGCCTGATTTGTGAATACAAGCTATCTGCTCAAGAAAAAAAAGCTCCAGTGTGTTTGTTTCATTGGACTTGAAAATGGGAAAAAGAGCTGGAGATAAGAGTGCTAGAGCCTGGAGTTCTTTCTCAGGCTGGTTCCAAATGCACTGTACCTGGTAGGTAAGTATATTCTGTGCTATGTGATTGTCGCTGATGCCTAGTTTCATTATGATGGAGTTTGCATCTGAATTTTTAGTTCATTTAGGTGGACTTCAGAGAGGCGAGTTATATAAATTGACATTACCATTTTCGCTGGAAGCTCAGTCTACTATGTAATGCTCTTTAACAAATTAATTTTTATTTAACTGTTGTTGACTTTTTAAACATTTCCCCAGCTAGAATAAAAGGTTCCTGAGCATGGAGAATTTGTCATTTCCCTAGCTATAGTAAACACTCAGTAAGCCTTCAATACAAGACCCTGTTAGGCTAGGTTAGGTCAGGGAGAGTTAATCTCAGCCTTCTCTATTTCCCACTCGGGCTATGAAGGGCTTAATAATGAAACAAAAATTCTGTCTACTATACCTGTAACAATAGCTAGGTGAATGGTTTGCTCTGCTTTTCCTGGAGTAGGGCTTCACACCGTCAAATGAAGCCCCAGCATTTTTCCTTAACACTGAATATTCAATCACTCTTACTACCTAGAGCTATTAGACATTCCTTTATTCAATTCCAAATTCCCTCCATGATAATAATCATATGACAATTACCTTTGTGATTTCACGCTCATGTCCTTTCAACCTTTTCACCACATTTCCAGTTCTCCAGTTATAGGCCACAACTGTCTGCAGAGAGTCATTAGAATATTTTAGTTGAACTGAATTTTAGTTTAACTGAAACAACAAGCTTTTACCTCATTCTCTACCTAATTTCTCCCTCTCTATCAAGGTTTTATTGTTGCTCGGTCCTTATGCCCCCCTACTTTGAGTTCTTTTGTCTCTCCCCAAGCCACTGGGCCACTCCTCTGAACCTTGCTGCTGGGTTTGGGATAACACTCCCCTGGGGGAACTGATTTAGGTTAAGGTTCTTCTGGTTGTAGATCCTGAAGGAAAATCTACATGGGATTAGATTTTTTCCCCTAAAACTGTATCATACTTTTTCTTTTTTTTTCAAATTTACCATCTTAATCATTTTTAGGTGTACAGTTCAGTAGTGTTAAAAGTATAGTCACATTGTTGTGAAACAGATCCTACTTTTTTTTAATTTCAAAAAATCTCATCTATATCCCATCTGCCAGAGAGAATCATTGTTAAAATTTTCTTTCCATCCTTTTTCCAGGTATATACTTTACTATTTTATTGTATTTCTCCCCCTAAACAGGATTTCAGAGCATTCTCTGGCCCAGTCTCTGTAGTTCATTGCTAGGGAATAAGGAGCGTGTTAGCACTTGACCTAATTAAATCCCAGTTTCTTAATCTGCAAAACAGAGGATAATCCTTCCTCTGTCTACCCCTCACAGGTGAGGATCATATATATAAAATTTCATACGTCTAAGATGATATAGATGTTAAGACAAAATGCTGCTAATTAAATGGGGATATCGTCAATTTTTAGATGCATCCTGATTTCAGAAGTGTTAAAATGTAGAAACGTGCATCTTAGAATCAGGGAAATACAGTATGAAAATGGAATTTGAAGATTCTAAATGGCTACTGAAAATTAGAGGCATTATTTTTTACAAAATAATCAACATTTTTGCCAGCAAGAGCCTAGGTCTGAGTGCTACAATAGATCCAAATACGAGGGAGAGAAAGCAAAGAGATTTAAAGTGACAATGGGAGGAATCACGATGTACACCAAAGTAGACATTTTGGCAGAAGAGAGGCATAAAAGAGACTAGAAGTTTCCTTTTGCTGATATAACTCCTGTGTCTGCAGGTAGGTTACAAATGGACAGGCTGGAATAATGATACTTGTCATTTATAAAAATCATGTGGGTGGTCTGGCAGAGAACCAAGCGTCTTACCATTCAGTCCTCACAACAGTCCTGTGCAGTTGGTGTTACTATCCCCATTTAATAGATAAGGAGCCTGAAGCTCAAGAAAATTAAAAGACTTGCCCAAAGTAATACGGAGTTGCAGAGCAGGAATTTAAACCCAGTCTTTCTAACACTAAAGCCCATATTTTTAACACTACTCAACGTTGCTGCCAGAAATGCAGGGTTCCCTTCTGTTCCCTTCTCTGCAATAAGCTGGTTCCCTGGGAAGCACTGCACACCCCACCTTATCTTTTCCTCCGGAGACACAGAGGTCTGAGTTCAGAGCAGCAACAACAGAGACGGTATCCACGTGAGCTGGGCTATACTCTTGAAAAGCTTTAGTTTGAATTCTCTCGTCTCTAAATCCATCGGGCCTGCTAAAGAGAGGATGGAAAATGAGGGGCCCAATGGTATAGGGTGCACAGTGGAGCAAGGGGAAGAAGAGTGCGGGCCATGGTAGGAATTCAGGCCAGGCTGAGGAGAAAGATAGAAAAGGAGTAGAGAAAGGAGACATGCTGACATCACCAGAAATGGTATTATTAACTCTGTAAATGCTCAGAATGAGTGAATGACTGGAATCTGATAAAGGAAGAAGCCCAGAGTCTTTGCTCACTCTAGAGATGATTCCCAAAGATGTAGGGCCCCTCTCTCTGTGGCTGCAGACACTATCTACTAAGATGTTTCTTAACCAAAAGGAAACAGACCAAAGTGACTGTTCAGGGAATGTCATCAGTGATGGCTCTGGGCCTTCTCTTTCTTTAGTGGAGAATTGTAATGCGGCGTAAAACTTGGGATCCCACTCAAGGGAGGACTGCTGTACCTGTATTTATAAGTGCTGCATTTGAGTTTGCTCTGCAGTTTCCCCATCACTGCACAGAATCTGCATGAGACCTCCTGGGGAAGAGCTCATTTCAGATGGCACCTGAATAGCATCCCACGTGGCTGCTGGAAGTTGTGTTCCCTGTTTAGTAAAAAGAAGAATACATAGTGTTAACTGTGTTAGGCACAATAATGGTAGGTAGTATGGTTATGTAAAAATCCTTTTTTTGAAAAAGACAAACTGTAGGTATTTGCTTTCCTCCTTTTTCTGCCTCACTCTTATGGCCCTGGGAATGCATCCTCCAATACAGCATTAGTAGATAAACAAAAGCAAAAACAAAACTAATTTTGAAAATATTAATATGTTCCCCAGTAAGTCAAACATAGACTTATTATGTGATCCAACAATTCTACTCCTGGGGATATAGCCCAACGAATTGAAAACAGGTGTTCAAACCAAAATTTATACATGTATGTTCATAGCAGCACTGTTCACAATAGCCAAAAGGTGAAAACAACCCAAATATCCATCAACAGATAAATGAATAAACAAAATGAGGTTTATACATACAATGAATATTATTCAGCCATAAAAGTGAATGAAGTACTGGGAATTCCCAGCAGTCCAGTGGTTAGGACTCTGCGCTCTCACTACCAAGGGCCCAGGTTCAATCCCTGGTAGGGGAACTAAGATCCTGCAAGCTGCGTGGCCCAGTGGGGAAAAAAAAAAAGGAATGAGGTACTGATACATAGTACAACGTGATGAACCTTGAAAACATAATACTAAGCAAAAGAAGCCAGTCACAAAACGCCACATATTGTATGAATCCATCTATATGAAATATCCATAATCAGCAAATCTATAGAGACAGAAAGCAGATTAGTGGTTGCCAAGGGATGGGGTAATGGAGAGTGGCTACTTAATAGGTACAAAGTTGCCTTTGGGGCAATGAAAATGTTCTGGAACTAGATAGTGGTGATGGTTGCATAATGTTGTCTATGTACTAAATAATATTAATAAATAATAATAAATTGTATGTTATGTAAATATATTCTGCCATAATAAAATAAATACTAAGAGTGTGTATTTGGAAATAATGAGGGGGTTCCCTGGTGGCATAGTGGTTAGGATTCGGGCTTTCACTGCTGTGTCCTGGGTTCAATCCCTGGTTGGGGAACTGAGATCCTGCAAGCCACGAGGTGTGGCCAAAATAAAAAGAGAGAGAGAGAGAATAATTTACACCAGTAATAAAGGTTCTTGAAAAAGAGCCTTAGGGCTTCCCTGGTGGCGCAGTGGTTGAGAGTCCGCCTGCCGATGCAGGGGACACGGGTTCATGCCCCGGTCCGGGAAGATCCCACATGCCGTGGAGCGGCTGGGCCCGTGAGCCATGGCCGCTGAGCCTGCGTGCCTGGAGCCTGTGCTCCTCAAAGGGAGAGGCCACAACAGTAAGAGGCCCGCGTACCGCAAAAAAACAAAAAAACAAACAAAAAAAGAGCCTTAGTTATTCTAAAAGGCTATATAACCTTCCTAGCTTGCCGGATTGCTATTAAATAATTTCACTGTGACACTTCTCTAAATCAGTGTGCCAGGGTCATGAGGTTATTCTGTAGTAAGAATGAGATGTGGGAGACAGTGACACTAAATGAGACAATACAGCTGATGACCTGACCAGCAGTTCTCAAAGTGTGATCTCAGGACTGCTGGGGATTCCTGAGACCTTTCACGGAGTCTGTGAGATACTCCTTTTTCCAATACTCCTTTTTCCAACTATGTCTCTGTGTGAGGCCTGATTTTCTTCTTATACTATAACCCAAACAACATACTGCAATAGATTGAATGCAGAAGCAGATATGAGACTCCAACTGTCTTCTGTTTAAGCCAAACAGTAAAGAGATTTGCAAAAATGTAAAACAATACCACTCTCTTCCAACCAAAATTTTTTGTGTTTTCAAAAGTATGTTTATTTTTCGTAAAATTGTTATTTATGTTTACATGCAATAGTTTTATTTTTTTAATGAGTTAATATGTAAATATTTTTTAAATATCTCAGTTTTAATGTCAAAAGGAGGTGGTAGAGTAGAATCCAATCTACAAGTTATATAAACAAAGGCTGTTTGAGGTCCCCAGTAATTTTTAAGAGTGCAAGGAAGTCCTGAGGCCAAAAACTTTGAGAACCACTGGCCTAGAAATTAAATAATGTCAATAATGGATGATACACTATATTCAAATAAAAAGAATTATTCAATGTTTTCTAGATTTACTTGCATCACCCCCAACAACTAACAAGGCGAGAACTAAAGAGAAAGAGAGATATTCATGCATGCACTCATTCAGGAAACACCCGCTAAGCACCTAATTTGTGCGGGTCCTATACTGGTTGCTGGTGAAACAGAGAAAAAAAGAGACCAAAAGATGTGGCCAGTGTGGACATCTGCTAGAACTGAAGGTACGTGACTAGGACCTAATCTCAGCTACTCTGGGTAATGTTCCTCTGCAACTAGCTGTCCCCTGAGATGCCAGAGGGTGGAGGTGGGAGAACCCAGTCCCCATCTCTTCTGGGGCTCTGCTTAAAGAAATTCTAGGAGATGAGTCTCTTATGGGCATGACCAGCCTACCTAGTTCTAGGAAGAACAGTCTACAGGGAGAAACAGCAGCTAAAACTCACCAAGTACTCTCCATCACATCATTACCTTTTTTTTTTTTTTGGCCACATGGCATGTAGGATCTTAGTTCCCTGACTAGGGATTGAACCTGGGCCCCCTGCAGTGGAAGCTTGGAGTCTTAACCACTGGACCACCAGGGAAGTCCCATATCATTCCCTTTAAAAACCACAGCTTTCCACAGTATGGAGGTTCCTCAAAAAACTAAAAATAGTATGATCCTGCAACCCCACTCCTGGACATATATCCGGAGAAAACTATCATTCAAAAAGAAACAAGCACACCAATGTTCATAGCAGCACTGTTTACAACAGCCAAGACATGGAAACAACTTAAATGTCTATCAATGGATGAATGGATAAAGATGTGGTACATATATATAATGGAAAACTACTCAGCCATAAAAAAGAATGAAATATTGCCATTAGCAGCAACATGGATGCAACTAGAGATTATCATACTAAGTGAAGTAAGTCAGAAAGAGAAAGTGATACCATATGATATCACTTACACATGGAATCTAAAATATGACACAAATGAACTTATCTACGAAACAGAAACAGACTCACAGACATACAGAACAGACTTGCAGTTGCCAAGGAGCGGGGGGAGGCGGTGTGTGTGTGAGGGATGGATCAGAAATTTGAGATTAGCAGATGCAAACTATAATATATAGAATGGATAAACAGCACGGTCCTACTGTATAGCACAGGGAACTATATTCAATATCCTGTGATAAACCATAATGGAAAAAAATATGAAAAAGAATGTATATATATGTATAACTGAATCACTTTACTGTAGAGCAGAAATTAACACAACATTGTAAATCAACTATACTTCAATAAAATATTTTTAAAAAAAACACTTAAAACAAAAAACAAAAAACCCACCACAGTTTTCCAGAAGAATTTCAGCCTACATTTGAAAGTTGCCAGAATTGACCTCCTGACAAGAATAGGTGAGAAATGGAATATTTCCTGCCGTATCAGTAAACAAAGGATGTCACAGTCATCAGCGATTGAAGCCACAGCCTATGGTGAGGGTAAGCCCAGAGGAAACTCAGGATATGAAAACACAGGATACTGGCCCCAGTATCCTGCATATCAAAGGAGTGATTTCAGGGGCTTCCTTGGTGGTCCAGAGGTAAAGAATCCATCTTACAATGCAGGGGACACGGGTCCTGATCGGGGAACTAAGATCTCACATGCGGCAGGGCAACCAAGCCCGCGTGCCACAACTACTGAGCTCTTGTGCCTCAACTAGAGAGGCTGCATGCCCCAAACTACAGAGCCCATATGCCCTGGCATCTGCGTGCCACAGCTAAAGAAGAGAAAACCCACATGCCACAACTAGTGACAGGCCTGCGTGAGGCAGGAGATAGATGGGCTCCAGGCTAGACATTTACAACTGGCCTCCTGTTCACACTTCCTGGGGTGAGAAGAAGATGGGCTCCAGACCGGACATTCATTACCAGCCCCACTTACATTTCCTGAGGCAAAAGACAAATGGGCTCCGGACTACACATTTGTGACCAGACTCCTGTCTACATTTCGAGATCTGCACCTCAATATAAAAAGCAGCAACAGAAATAGGGTAAATCACCAGACATTGGACATTTTTATGGCAGGGACAGAGTGGGACTAAACTCTGTTAAAAGATCAAGAGGTCATCCTTAGGGCATAGAAAACATTGCACATGTGCAGAAAGCCTCCTTGGGGGTCAAAAAAGTTGGGGGGCTTCCCTGGTGGCACAGTGGTTAAGAATCCGCCTGCCAATGCAGGGAACATGGGTTTGAGCCCTGATCCGGGAAGATCCCACATGCCACGGAGCAACTAAGCCCGTGAGCCACAACTACTGAGCCCATGAGCCACAACTACTGAGCCCGTGTGCCACAACTACTGAAGCCCATGCCCCTAGAGCCCGTGATCCGCAACAAGAGAATCCACCGCAATGAGAAGCCCGCGCATCACAACGAAGAGTAGCCCCTGCTCACCGCAACTAGAGAAAGCCTGCACACAGCAATGAAGACCAAAAAATTTTAAAAAAGATGGGGCACCACCCCATAATATGTGATGTAATATGTGATGCTAAGGCTATCCCATAGGCCTCTGGGCTGTAATCCATCTTGGAAAAACGTTGCGCACACATGTTGTAGAGACTCCTAAGGCAGGTCATGTGTGGAAAAAGAAACCAGATAATTGGCCAAAGGTAAACAAAGACCCGAAGAACTGCCCTATATAAATGACCTAACCACCTCTTTACTGCGCTCCTCCTCATTAGGGAGGATGCCCACACCCTTTCTCTCCGGGTGTGCATCTCTGCCTTGCTTCTATCTTAACAAACTTTCTCTGTGTGCTCTCCCACTTGTTGCTGTGCTATGTCTCTAATGATAAACTTTGTACCTGTTTTTACAGTTTTGCCTCCGTGAGAAATGTAGTTTTCACCGGGGGCAAGAGCCAGCGGGTGTGGTGGCCTGGA